AATAAACAAAATCTACGGGCCCAGCCCAATACATGAAAAGAAAAATGTATGGGCTTTTTTCTTCGCAGGGTAGTGACTAGTGAGTTCTATTTTGCATAATTTGAATTCAATTTTATCTAGCCCATTTTACATGGCAAGACGAACCCATGAATTCTGAGGCTTTAAGATTTAAGAAAAAGCGTCTCAACCCATTTTAAAACTACACTCAAAAAAGGGGTCTCATCATTTGTGCTAAAAATGGTAGGACATGGGCATCTTTTAAAATCAGATGTGGAATGGTAGAAAATTGAAATGAACCTTATGTGAAACTAAGGAATACTACCTTTATTTAGAAGAAAAACAATTTTTTATTATGAACAATTTGCACTCAGCCAATCAATAATGGATTACAATTTAGATTGACAATGTTACCTATAGCTATGGTTATAGGTTTTTTAGTTATTTATATCTTAAAAATACATAAAATATATTTAATATTTATTTTAATTAATATTTTATATATTTTTAAAATACTAAAACACTAAAAAACATTATCAAACAAAACCTACACTTGCATTTGTTAGTCCACCAAGAACAGATAGCACTCGTGTGGGAACACATGGCTTCTGTAATAGCCCTTTACCTTTTGAGGTCAAAATTTTCAGCACCACCTGCTACTAAGGACAGATGCGCAATAGCTTGAGGTAGAAAAGAGATGGTTGTGTTTGTGATGAATGGAGATTCACATGTTATTCTGCCCGAGGGCTGGTCCATTACAGGCTTTCAATTTCTAATGTGGGATTTCTATTTGTTCCCAACCATTCTCATGATTGTTAATGTTGTCCATTTTCTGTGTTGGTTGTTTTAACCTTTTTTTTATTATTTTTTTCTTGAGATTCTGTCGGGTGAGCTTTTAAAAGGTTTTATTTGTTGTAAAGGGATTTTTTGATTTTTGTAAAAGTTACTCTCACCTTTGAAGATGTGCTTTTTTAGGATATCTTTTGCTACTATTAAATTTATGGATTTGATGATTTTTAATAATTTTAAATTTCTTATTGATTAAAACCAAACAAAATGGTAAAGAAATTAATTAGCTTTTTTTTTAAAAAAAAAAAAAAGAAAATTTGTGCATTTTCAATTTATAATTGTATTTTTATAAATTATTATAATTATTTAATATTAAATTTTAAATTAAGTGAAAGATATTTAAAAAAATAAAAAAAAATTCATCCTTATATGATTCATTGTTATCAAATGAAAAAAAAAATGAAAAAAACTTATAGTGACGCATTATGACCATTCCATTATCGTGTTTAGAGTCTACTAAAATTTTGTTTATGTTGCTTGCTATATAAAGCCTGCTTGGAATCACGGTTTGCACCTCACGTACCTCAAAAATGCTCCACTAAAGACGCTCATAAATTAATTGCGAAACAGTGGACCGTCTACCCATCTCAATGGACCCATTAAGAATTTCTCTCCGTCCGTTCAAACTATCCGACGTCGACGACTTCCTGAAATGGGCTAGCGACGACAGGGTAACCCGTTATCTCAGATGGAACACCATCACCTCCAGGGAAGAGGCGTTGACCTATCTCGAGAAGGTGGCAATACCCCACCCCTGGCGGCGATCCATATGTCTAGACAACCGATCAATTGGATACATCTCGATCAGGCCAGGATCCGGCGACGATAGGTGCAGGGCACGTGTAGGGTATGCGGTGAGTTCAGAGTATTGGGGACAAGGGATTGTTACAGCGGCTCTGAAGATGGCTGTCTCTAAGGTGTTTGATGAAATTCCTGAGTTAGTGAGGCTTGAAGCTATGGTAGAGCTAGAGAATAAGGCCTCGCAGAGGGTGCTAGAGAAAGTTGGATTTCTGAAAGAGGGTTTGCTAAGAAAGTATGGGTATTGTAAAGGAGAAATCAGAGATATGTTTGTGTACGGTTTCATATCAACAGATGAGATCTCAAGTAATTGATTGGGTATCCAATGCTAAACTCAATCCTACTATTATAATCAATTATAGTTCACATACT